CAAAGATCACACAATTCGCTAAATTAAATGGGGAATTCCCAGATCCCTACAATATGCTCCTCCTTTCTTAGCCAGAAACTTTGTGACAACCAATTTTGTGGTAGATAATTTATCTCTATTTCTACAGGGTTTTTATTTGTTTTTCTTCTTAACACAACCCTGCTTACTTTTTTCCCTTGCCGCAGTGAAGAGGTCAAGCAGCCCCTCATCAGGGAAGCCCAGGCCAAGATCGAGGCCATCCAGTCGGGCCTCCTCCTTCGCATCGCCCAGGAGCTGGAGGGAGAGGACCCCTTCCTGTTCCAGCGAGCTGTGTCCCCTGGCCTCCAGGAGTACGTGGAGGCCGTCCTGTTCCTGGGCTATGCAGCCGAGGCGAGGCTGATGGGACTGGGCGAGGTCAGGGGTCAGCTGAGGTTCAGGGTCCCTGCCACCGACGGAGAGGATTCCAAGAGCAAGGTACGTACACAGAAGGAAATCTGGTGAGATGTCTGAATGGTGATCAAATAATTCCACTATTCTCAAAATGCCTAAAATAAATTACCTCTGGTTGCTCTCTGTTGTTACCAAAGAACTTGAAGATCCGAGATCCAATCCCCTTTACATTTTCTCCAGTACCATTCCAACACATCTTTTATCATGCCAAGCATTAGGGTAGTTTTGTACTGATATGTTGTTGTTATTTGACACCACATGTATAAAACAGATGCACCACTTTTACGGAACGTCCACTTTTCTCAGTGTATAGACTGACGTATGAGAGTGTGAACTGTCAGTGTGCATGAAAATGAAAGTCATTGTTGGACTGAATTGACAGCTCACAGGTGCTTGAAATGGGTGTCTTTACTCGAGTGCCAAGAATGGTCTTGTGATTGCCAGAAGTGGGGAGCATGAGGTACATGTAATCACCCTTTGTCTGTGAGTTGGTCCAAAGAACCCTACCGTTTCATGGTTAAGTCTCTTTTCTATGTTCACATTTACTTTCCTAAAAAACAGGCACCTGATGGAACAAAACAGACAGTTCATAACTTCCCCCGACAAATGGTGACAAGTGAAGTTATTAAGAAGGATAACAGTTGGATGTTGATTGTTTGTTAGGTATCACAGAAACACTGCTTACATGTAATTGCCTGTGACTTGTGGCAGTTCAGAGAGTACATTGGTCTTGCTTGTGCTCGCGATTACATTTTGAATAATTCGTTTAGGAGCCTTGGGTTGCATAGTTGCTTCAATAGTGTTTGCATTGTTCATTGACAAGATAAGAGAATATGTGATAAAAACACGTCAAGGTAATAAATGTGTAGGTGTTGTGAATGTAAAAAATGAAATATCTAATATGTACCTGCCAGGATTCATCAGATCCAACCGTTGAAGGGGTCTTGCCCGAGTCTGTCGATCAGGAGAACCTCCCAAGGACCCCACCCATGAGGACACTGGCCCTCCACCTCTCCCCAACGGACTACGTCCTGGGGATGGCCGACTTCACTGGCGAGCTGATGCGGGCCTGCATCAACGGCATCGGGGCGGGTGATGCCCAGACCCCCTTTGCACTGGTGGCCTTCCTGCGGCAGCTGTATGACGGCTGCCGCTTCCTGGGCAACCGGCCCGGCCGGGAGTTTGTGCGCAAGCTGGCCGTCATGCGGCAGAGCCTGGCCAAGGTGGAGAGTGCCTGCTACATGCTGCAGGTGCGGGGGTCGGAGATCCCCAAGCACATGCTCCTGGATGTTATCTCCTCCCTGCCCAACTCGGAGCTGGGCATGGAGGACTTTGATACTTGAACTCTCAGCCGTGTGGCCATCCATAGTAAAGATGGTCCAACAATATCAGTGACTTGAAATGTTTACAAGTCAAGGCCACTCTGTTATTGAATTGCATAGAATGGAGAAACGTAATAAGTAAATGAAGGCAAGAGTCTGACCAATGCAGAGTGAAACCCTCTATGGTGGAGACAGACACATCCCGAACTGGATAGTAAGTAAGTTCGCATGGAAACTAAATGTTTTCCTGTTTCTTAATTTGTTGAGAAGATCTGGAAAGTAGCTTCTGAATAGTTCATGAAAAGACAGATTAAAAAATGCATTTGCCAAACATATCTGTAGACCATTACTTTGAGAGTGAGGGGACTTGTATGTATAGAGTTCTTACCTTGCCATTATTATAACAATATGTAATGATTTCATAAATTTTAGACAACATTATTAAAGTCCTTTCCTGTAAGCTTCTTTGTGGAGGAACCATTCTGAATCCTCCAAAATGCTCTGCTTAAAAAGAAACCAATGTCACATGCTTTGACCTTATACCTTTAAGGGCCATCGAGCCCCACGTAAAAGTAAAGATGGGCAAGCTTTGCCATCTTCTGTCCTGCAAGAGTTCTCAAGAACCTTCAAGTGGATTTTGAGGAATCTTAGGAGTTAATTTCCAAAAAAGGGTGAAATCATTTAACCCAGACACAGTGGAGTAGTTCACGGGCAGGCCGAGATGTTACATTTTCTGTACCCAAAATGCCAAAAAATATGCTACTGACGCGAATTTTCTTGAAGAAATTCAACCGTGTTTTGACCGACCTTTTTATATGAGGGAATGGATAAAGTGGACATTCCTTTCGCAGTTTTCCTTTACATCTAGAACTACAGCCATCCTACAAGCTGGTTCTATGAATGCACTGCTTTCATTGGCCACAGCAAATGCCAGTGAAAGCACAGTTCCCATCAGTTGCATCTATGAGGAAACTGTTTGTGCATCTGTTCTGCACTTGTTATTTTGGCACCTGTACCAGAGTTGACACGTATTTCAGTGGAAAGCAAAGGTTGTCACTTTTAATCCTGGCTGAACTACCAGTATGCATGTGTGTGTTGCTGGAAAAAGTCAGTTTATCTTTGTAAAAAGTTTGCTTTATTTTAGAGAAACATGGAATTCAAAAATTCCCCTACTGGTTTACCGAAAATAAGCCCTGGTTGGATAGTCAGCCAGATGCTTGCCTACATTGTACATACACAATACTAACAGCTGGTGGAAATCATGATCCCTGTGATGAGCATTATCAAGAACATGTAGTAAAAACTGCAATAGACTTAAGAAATGAGCTCCAAACTGTGTTCATTGTCTCAGATTGCATGAAATACCCACACGATAACTTGCAGGTAACACGGTAATTGTCAACAAAAAGTATTGGGATGGAGTTGAAAATGGCAACCTTTGGGCTGTATGCACACAAGTACAGAATTTTCCCATCACAAATGCATTGTACAGCCTGGACCAGCCAGTAAGATCACTGTAGAGTCCATTTTTTTGGAGCTGTTAATCACTGAATGTGGCTTAAATCTTACACAATTAATAGCAAGAGCAGGTCACTGGCCAAACCCCCGCAGCTGAATATTGCTTTTGACTGGTTCACTGACAACTTTTGTTGGTTTAGGGGTTCCATTACCATGATACACAAAAAGGCCTCAAATTGTAAAGGTTTCCCACCTGTGTTTTTCATTGGCTAAGATATAATGACGGAGATAGGTGCCAGAACTGAAAATCTTCATTGGCTGTCTTTGTATTAGAGTAACCCCTCCCCCCCACACACATTCAAGTGTGTATTTGCCTGCAACCGGGGACCCCCTATTGTTCCCCTTTTGTTTGTAC